AATAGAGCTAATCAAGCCTATTGTGAGGCGATGACCCTCTTTTGCATACGACTAACCTGTTTGTCCATGTGGAGGCAGTGCTTATAAGGCTGAGTTCGCCTGAAACTCATCAGACTGAAGAAGTCTCTTGGAGGAGAGACGAAACRTTTCACTAAAGAAGAACCCACCCAGAGGACCTACTTATCTTTTCTTTTTATACTTTCTTTTACAACTTAGGGGATTTTACTACTACTTCTATTTCCTGTTGTCTTCTTCGTCATCGTCTGTTTTGCCCGTGGAAACAGCCGGTTGTTGATCACGTGACTCCTGTGATGCGAAAAAAGTGTTTCCATTGTAGTTTTGCGAAACACACCAATTTCGATAGGGCCGAAATACCACCCCATCCTAGCGCAAAAACATTTGTCGAAAAAAAGGACATTTTTTCGAAACTGACGTGTTTCCATTGAGCAAATTTATTTTCGAAATTCTAATTTGCGCACTTTCATGGTCATTGGAAACACAGCTGAGAGAAGCATGCAGACTGTGAAGTCTGTATGTTCAAAGCTGAAAGGGAAGTTAGCTCAGATACATGTGAAAGAAAAGAGACAAAATGGCGGATATGATCCAAAACGGCTGACTTCCTGTACGGATCGGAACCTGACTCCAAGAGACTTTTTTGTAGATCCTGAGACATTACACACGTGTACCACATTTCATGATTCCAGGTTCAAGCAGGGCTGATGTTTTTTTTTTGTTTTGTTTTGTTTTTTTAATTGTAGGGTACACTGCGGAGGAATTGGGCCACCCCCCCCCCCCCCCCCTAGTGGGGGGATTGGGGTCGACCATAGTGAATTTGGTTCAGATTGGCTGAAATATGTAACATTAAGAGCCAAATATACTATGTCAACAGCGTGATGTCTGACTTCGCTGCACCGCCATGACCACACCTTTCATCAAAAGTATTTGTGACTGAAAGCAAGTGAGAATAACTTAACCAGAATCTACCCAGCCAACACACACATGTGGGGCCCAAATGGGGAGTAGCTGGGCTAACATTTGGGGCCCATTTGGGCAACCCAACTGGGCCCCGGCTATTTTTGTCCTCAGTTTCCATGGTGGCCCCAAGTGTGTTTGCCCAGATGGATTTATGATGGGCCTTGGGTGAGCCCCAAATCAGACCTAGCCAACAAACGTGTGTGGGGTCCAGATGGGTAAAAGTGGGTTTTATATTTGGGCCCCCACTTGGGCAACCTAACTGGGCCCTGGCTATTTTTGTCCTCAGTTTCCATGGTGGCCCCAAATTATTATCTGTGTTCTGACAGAATTTTTGGTCATTAGGTCAAGAGAGCTTTCCAAGCAAATAAATAAATAAATAAATAAAAAGTTCACTTCCTGTTGTCATGGGGTGGGGCTTTGATGATATGTGAGCACATGGTATGGTCGGGTATGCAACATAGATGACTCATGCCAAGTTTGGTGTATTTTAGACATTCTATGTGAAAGTTACATCTGTCTGAATTTGTAAAGACAGACTGACTGACAGATGAATGGAGAGCATTTCTAAGCCCCCCAACCTCAGYGACGGGAGGACAAAAACTGGTCAATAAGTGATACCTTTAGAATTTCCTCATAATCCTGGCCAGTTTGTTCTGAGTCCAGTGTTACCCACTTTCTTGGCAGCAGTGGGGGTGGAGCTGAGTTCTTTAGGTTATCCTGAGTTGGAAGAAATAAAATCATATGAATTAAGAAAAAAACTTTTTGAACAATGTCAAGTTGTCAGTTTTGTAGGTTTGGAGTCACATCTGTATTAGCCAACTCACTTCTGAGTTCTTTGTGTGGGACTGAAGAGAAGAGTTATACATCAGCCTCTTTGCTTCAAAAGCTTTTTTTATTTCATCAAATTTTCCTGAAGGAGAAACAGGAGACATCTGCTGCTGAAAAAAAAGAAAAGTGTCAATAGCAACAGCAAAATAAGTTGTTTGGATTTAGCCATTTTTTTATTTGCACAACTCATACTGCACATCCCAGAAATGCATGTTCCTAACAAATGTGGCATCATTTAAAAGGGAAATTGTCAGCCTTTCCAAACATAAAGGATTTATTGCCAGGAAGCACCGTTACAACAAAGAAATAATCTACCAAACCAATTTTCTTCATGTTTTGTAAAAGATTTACTTAGAATAAAAATCTAACTGGGAAATTTGGACATTTTTCGGCAACTTTAATAAAGTAATAAAGGATTTACTTCAGATTCTTGAGGTGGGGGGGGGGGGGGGGGGGG